AATACAAATGATGCAGTATCGCTAAAGTTTTTTTTTTTTTTGCTAACAATCGAAAATAAATACTGGAGACTGAAAAAGCAGCACACGTTGAACAAAATGGAGGTAAGTAGAGTCAAAAGGTTTTTCAATGCTCACTTCAAGACAATTCTTTCACTAAAAGTCCGCTAAATTCGGTGCTTTGATTCCATTGGCATTGTGCCAGCTGTCGTTCCAGGACGCGCTAAGTTTATTTGGTGCTCGTTAAATAACCACTGGAGGACCAGACGTTCAACGCACTCGTAATACTGATTTGCTTTTACTGGAACTGCTCTTCGGTTCAGTTGTCGTTTCTGTCCTGCAGTAGCTGGGACAAGATCATTATAAAGTTTAAAGAAATTTGATGAACTGATTTTATGGGTGATCGGGAAGAAAGAGGGCTTTATTATATTTAATATGCGAAGACTGTAAGAGTTGTTCGTTACCATTTTATTGAACCGTTTACAGCAAGTGGATAAGACGTCGGTTAAATGGAAGTGTAGAAGTCATTGAAGTTTTGTACTGTTATTTATTAATTTTTTAATTACTCAACAGTTCCTTCAGATAAACCAGTAATGTTTTGTTAGTTCTAATTTTTAATGAGGTGGTTATTTCATGTATCTAATATGTGCTAATTTTTTTGCTTTTTATGGTCGATGGAAGATTTACTGAAGATATAGAAAACTCGCTGTAGAAAGCACAACTTTTTCGATTAGATTGGTTTCGTTTTACTAGCTTTTTGTGTTCCTCTCAGTAGTACTGTACTTCGCTAACGACTTCGATCGTTTTATCATTTATTACACATTTGTTTTAGAAGTATAATTTTTGAAAGTCTGGTTCGAAAGAGCTTTTTTATTGAATAGCTTTTATTTTGCTTTGATGCCCTGATGGCGAGGGAACGAAGTCATAGTAGAGGTGAGGGTGAAGATGTAATTTTTTATTTTTGTTTTTCTTTTTTTTTCTTTCCAGAACTCTTGATTGTTCTGTTTAAATGTAATTTTTTTGAAGAACGAGATCGAGAAAAACGGCGCCGTTCGCGTTCAAGATCGCTTGGTCGGACTCGTGGTACAGATCGTGAAAAAGAGAGGACAAGACGTCGTAGCCAGGTTCATTGTTTTTCATTCTTTGCTTAAATTGTTATAATTAATAAAGTTTTGAAAAAAATTTTTTTTTTATTATTGAAGCAGAACTGAACTGGAAGTAATACAGGAACGGTACCGCTCTCGCAGTCCGTTAGATCGTAGGCGGAGTAGAAGCAGGAGTCGCGATCGGAGGGATAAGGCTAGACGTAAGGACTCGGATGAGCAAAGCAAACGGTTTCATTTTAAATTAACGTTTTCAATACATTCTGTAATATTTTATTATAAAAATTTTCTGATTGAAATGGTTTTGTTATTAATTTAAAGGCAAGTTCTCACGGTCAAAAACGTATATCATTATATATTTAAGTGGTCATTTTTACATTTATTTTTTCTCTCGAAGCAGCTTTTAGTGATCGCGATGACAAGAGAGACGAGAAGAAGGGCAAACGTTCACAACAAGGTTAGCCATTGATATTAAGACAAAATCTGTGCAGAATTACTTTATTCTTGACAAGTCCTACTTTCTTTATGAGTAATGAACTTGTTAACTCGGAATTGGCTTGGAAATTTTGAAGTGAAATTTCCAACTTTTTGGAATGCTTCGAGTCCGCTAGTAAAAGTTAAGTGAGAAAAATTTTCTGTTCTGAGTAGCCAAAGTTACGTTAATTATTGCTTTTAATTCTTGGCTTTGTGGCTCAAGGATATTTGGTTATTTTTCTCGTAACTGGAGTTTTTTTGTAACTTCTGGTAGATAATTAAGAACTTTTGAAGCGGAAACGATCGATCTCGATTCTCTGAAGAATGTAGATAAAGAATTTACAAGGCTTATGGGTTTTACCAGCTTTAATACAACTAAGAATAAGAAGGTATTTCGAAGTTCTTTTTTATTTTGTTCTTCTCAATCTCTTTTTTTCTCTCAGTGTTTTCTCGATTTGTTGTTTATAGCGGTTTTCAGTTTTTCAGCGTAAGTACTTGTTTTTTTTCACTTATATGTTTTCAGTTTCAAAAGTTTTATATTCATTCACCCTTCTACTGAATTATTTTTTCTATTTTTCTTCTTTCCAACTTTTTCCACGCGAAGTCACTTTTTATAGGTTCCTGGAAATCACGATGGAGCCGTTAAAATCAATAAGCCACGTAGGTATCGACAGTATATGAACAGGAAAGGTGGTTTCAACAGACCGCTGGATTACGTTGCGTAAATACCGCGTTTTTTGTTTGTACATAGTTCCAGTGAATCATGTTTCTAATTAAAATGAGATGACATTAATGTGTTGCTTGAAGTTCGATGTCGCTTTGTTGTTAGCTTAACTTTTATAGTGGTAAAACTGTTTTATTTGCGATCTCGTGGTTGTACTTTAATATTTCAATTTCGCCTACTATTTTAATTGTGATAAAGGTTTTATAAAATGATTGTTTTCTTGACGTGAGGGCATTTAGGTTCTAATCTATTAAAAATTCACAGTTTTTAATCTGATCTGTGGTATTTTTTAGTCGGGGTGATCCTTTTATTCTGTTATGCTACGCGTTCTCAGCACTGTTCAATTTCTTACTAGCTTTTGTGATCGTCTTCATAGATCCTTATGGTTGGTATGAGTTGGAAACTTCAGAGCGAGTAAGCAGTTTAGTGAGTTGTTTGGTTTGTGTGGTCATGGAAGGGTTGTTAGTTAGTATTGCTCAGAGTAATAGTGATGTTTGTTGATTGTTGTTAGAATTGGGAAATTGCTGTTTGAGTCGGAAGTGAGGGAGCATCAGTAAAATCTTTAAATGGGGTTTTTGAGTACTGTTGTTCGTTCGATGTTTCGTTAGTGATTTTTATCTTTGGCAGTATGGTGAAATTCATATGTGCACCACTTGCGCGATTATTGACAGTGAAGAGTAAGGTATCAGTTGATTAAGTGCTTTTCTCGCGAAAAATCAGTTGTGGTAAAAGAGTTCTAGTGGTCACTGGATGATGCGCAATCTTGTATACTGACAGAATGGTCTGGTCAGTAGCTTATTTCGCTTGAAGCAGTAATAGTTATTCTACTTCTATGATTTTGTCTTCCAAACGTTGCGGTTGCTGTTTTATCAACGGTGGAGGTAATATATTTCCTTTCTTTGAAATTTGGAAGGACGTGAGTGGGTAAACTTAATGTTTAATGTTGCGCAATTCTTCCTTGGTAGTTTGGAAGGACTGACCAGCATTGATTATTAGGGGAATTTCCGGCTGTTTCGTGAATGAAAAGAAATATTTTGAGAGTTTGTCTTGAAAACTTGTTGTTAAGTTCGTTGCCGACAGTATTTTTTAAAAAATTTCTCTGCACTTCTGTAACAATGTTCCGGATATCTTCATATGTGTTAATTTTAAGGTTTAGAGGTCTACCATTTTGTTTTCTAGGCATCTTTAAGGTTTTTCTTTAAGGTTCACTGTTGAGATCAGGTATTGCAATCTTCAGTAATGAGGTGCCTTTGGGACTGTCAAGAGTACACAGATTTTTATTACAATTGGAAATGATTTTTTTGCGCAAATAGAATCTTTTTTTGTGGATTTGGTTTTTGATTTTGTTTTCTAGGTTTATTTGGATGTGAACCTTGGTTACACATATGCCTTTAACAGCCATTAGAAACTCCAATGGAAGTTGATAGTCCTATGCCTGAAAATGTGGATGTAGCGGCTGCTTTAAGCAAGTATGAGGTAAATTGCAATAATAATAAATGTTGAAAATGAATTAGGAATCACTTATATTAGAATGAACGTAAAAAAATGCACTTGGAAAGAAAGTTATAGCTATCAGATAAATTAAATTTTTTCATTATGTCGAACAAAGCTTAAGTTTGATTTTTGAAGGCTCGAAGAAAGAAAATAGCTGAGGAAGAAGCTAGGAAACGACGCGAGGGGCTGCTTTCTGACGAAGATCTGGTTGATGATGATGATGATGGTGGGTTTGTTCCACATCGCCTGCGGAAGAAAGAGAAAGTATGTTTTCAGTGTAGTCTGCAAACTAAGTGTGTAATAGTAGAGAACTTGTCTTTATTTATGAATTTTATGTCTTTATTTATTTATTTCTGAAGGAATTTAATTTTTGTTATTCAGATGCACCGACAGGCCTTGCTTAAACAAGTACTCCAAGTTCCAGTTGACTTATCCGCCACAAATGCCGATAACAGTCAAAAGGCTTTATTAGAAAGAAAAAGGAAGAAAAAGGAGGAAGAAAAGGAAGCGGAGGAGGCGAAGAAATCTTTGTTGGAAAAACATAATGAATTAGTTGAAGCAGAAATCGGTAATTTTTGGAAGCTCACTAGATTTTTCTTTTTATATGTAGTAAACTGGAAATAATTACATGCTGGCACTAGTCAATGACCTGAATGAAAGATTTTGTCGATTCATTTGTTTTTTTTTTTGTTTGAAAGTCATTTTTTATTTGTTTTTTTACTAAACGGAAAAAAGTTATTTGCAGCGGAAGGCAAAGGACCTGAAGAAAAAAAACGTGAAGAGGAAGAGAAATTATTGGAAAGCGTTGCTCCTGGGACTGGTAAATTGTTGCGGAACAGTCTTCGACTATTTAAATTATGAAGTTTTTTTCATCTATCTAGTCTGTTTCGTTATGTCTGACTATAGCGTTGGTTTTAGCACTTATGGCAGTAGCGGAAATAGCGCGTGGTATCAAATATGAAGAGTCAATGAAGACGAGGTGCGTTCATTAAAAGCATTCAGGAGTTTTTATTTACTACAAACAGTTTTTCCATTTGCATAACGTCTAATTTTTTAAGAAATTTAGGTTCTTGTATAGAATACGGAAATAAAATTTTCAATTACTTAGAGGGTATTAGTAGTTTAGCTGGAGGCCTCCGCGTCACGTATTGGCAATGAGCGATAATGACCATGCTCAGACTAGACGAAAGAAGGGGATACTTGTTGACGGAGAAGACGTGCCACCACCTATTGCTAGCTTTGTGGTTCGTTTTTATAGCACAGGCTGTGTTGGACTTTCCTTCCGACCATAACTTTTCTTATTTCACTCTTCAGTAAATAAGTTTTTTTAGGAAATGAAATTCCCCAAGTGCATTATTAAGTCAATGCGAGATAAGAACATTATTTGTCCTACTCTAATTCAAATGCAAGGAATACCGGTTGCGTAAGTTTTTCGGGGTTTTTAGTCGATTTCTTTTTTTCAGGAAAGTGATGAAGGTGTTTTAATTTTTTGAAGCTTGTCTGGCCGCGATATGATTGGCATTGCGTCGACGGGTTCGGGGAAAACATTAACATTTGTACTCCCCTTAATCATGTTTTGTTTGGAACAAGAACTGAAGTTGCCATTTCGCCATGGAGAAGGCCCATACGGCCTGATTATTGTTCCATCCGTAAGAAAACCTGTTATACACGACTTTTAATATAAACTTTTTCGGACTGGCAGATTTGTACAGTATTTTTTGTTTTCAATAATTTTTTTGCTTTAGCGTGAACTGGCAAAACAGATACATGACGTTATCGAACGGATATTCAATGACATAGCAGATAACTCTCGTTTGCCTCGTCTTCAGGTAGGGTTGTGTATTGGGGGCCTGCCTATTGGCGAGCAAGCGCGGAAATTCGAAAGGTTCACTTGACCGTTAATTATAAAAAGATAGAGCAGTTATATTCTTTGCTTCTAACACAAACAATTCATTTTTCTGTTATCTACAATTGCAGGGGAGTTCATGTTTGCGTTGCTACTCCTGGTCGTTTGTCTGACCTTTTAAGCAAAAAAATTTTCAATTTGCAAATCTGCCGATATTTGGTGTTGGATGAAGCTGATCGCATGCTCGATATGGGATTCGAAGAGGAACTGCGTACTATATTTTCATTCTTTAAGGTAATATTTTAGGCCATCAGTGTTTTACTTTAACTTTTAAGATTGTTATGACGTAATTGTTATTCATTTTTAAGGACCAGCGACAAACATTACTTTTTTCTGCTACAATGCCTCGTAAGATACAAAAGTTTGCTAGATCAGCACTGGTACGTGCAATAATTGTAAACGTTGGCCGCGCTGGTGCGGCGTCTTTGAATGTAATCCAAGAAATTGAATATGTTAGAGCTGATGAAAAACTTACCAGGATACTAGAATGCCTTCAGAAAACTCCTCCAAGGTAATTTTAAAAATAAAGCAATTTTGCTCTGGTCCTCTTAGGGAACTTTATATTTCTTGCGAAAATTTTGAGGTTACGAAGTAATAGCACAGATCTGGATTTTAGAGTTCTCATATTTGCTGAGAAGAAGAACGATGTTGACAACATATACGAATACCTTTTAATTAAAGGAGTAGACGCTGCATCCCTACATGGAGGGAAAGGTTAATCTGCCTTCTTTGTTTGATTTCTATTTTTAATGCTGCACTAAACAAAAGAAAAGCTTCTTTTACAGATCAAAAAGATCGTCACACAGGTGTTGACGCATTCAGGCGTGGCGAGAAAGACGTTCTTGTTGCCACTGATGTGGCATCGAAAGGACTGGATTTTGAAAATATCCAACACGTTATTAATTTTGACATGCCAGAAGATATTGAGAATTATGGTCAGAACAATCTTAGGTTTCTGGTACAGTTTGATACGGACCAAAAACGTCAATTTTACTTTCATTTTTCAGTGCACAGGATTGGGCGTACTGGGCGTTCTGGAAAGAAGGGTATGTCTACAACCTTTGTCAACAGAAGATCAGGTATTAAATATTGAAACTTTAGCACGAGCTTTACTTAGTAGACTTTTGTTTCAATTGTTCTTTCATTCATTAAATTATTGTACTGCATACTTATTTTTGAATTAATGGTTGTTTTTAGATTGAAAAGAAAGTGTCATTTTTAGTGACATTTTTCCAGATATATCAGTTTTGCAAGATCTGCGAGCACTTTTAATTGAGGCTGGTCAAGAGCTTCCGGTTTTCTTGAAAGAGCTTGGTGGCCCACAACCTGCTCCTCAGAATGATATTGTTAGCAATGAAGATAGAGGATGTTCTTACTGTTCTGGTCTTGGCCACAGGATTACTAACTGTCCAAAGTTAGAAAGCATTCAAGCAAAGGTTGGTTATTCTTGTGTATTTATGTACATCAGTGACTTAAAGGCAAAATTAGTGAATATAATGTTATTTTTTTTATTTCAAATTCTTTCGTTTTATCTGCTCTTATTTTTAATTTTTGCAGACAGCTGCTTATGTGGGCCGTAATGAATTTGCTGGCGACGAAATGTAAAGGTTAGAACTATAATGTATTATTTAAAAGTCCCATTTCTTGCTTCAACAGGAAACGGCTGCCAGTTACCCGTAGTAACTGCCGTAACAGGTGGTGGGAATAAGAAAGCTGCTCACGGGATCTTTAAGAAACACTGCTGCCAGACTAAATGCTACGTCATTGTAGTTTCGAGACTTAATCCAGGCACCTGCTGTGATCGTTTGTATATAGCAAAATGCTTATCTTCATTGGTGTTAAAATTGGCCGTTTATATCTACGTTGCTTCTGAAATTTTAACTCCTCCTGTCAAAGATATACTTGGTAGTTCTTTGGAAGAGTTTAAAAGTCGATTTGCAAACTGTTTTCAGTTGTCTATTTGTTAATGTTGCGTTGAGCGTTGCTACCTCCGTTTTTCAATCCTGTATCACAAATGCCACAACTATCCGCTGTTGTTGTGAAATGGAATCTCTAATTAAACTTTTTCGCTCTACTTTTTTTGTACGACTTGCTTCCATAGATCTGCAAATCATTAAATATTCAATTTACCACTATTGTTTCAACTCCTCTCAAATACTACAGCAGTTAACCTACTTTTAGCGGTCTTTTCATTAGTGTTCCGTAATAGAACACATAGAACGCAATCTTTTGGTTTATTTTCGTCCTTTTATCTCGAGGAGGAGAGTGTACAAAAGCGGCAGAGATTTTATATTTCCAAAACCCCGTTTCCGCTCATATTAACTAGTCTACCTGAGCACAATAGCAGATGATTGGTTTGTGATCAGGTTTGGTGGAAAAACGAGCAACAATTCTTTTGCAGTAGCTTTCAAGAAATGAAACATTTTGGTCTAGAAACTACTCTGCCACTCAAAAAGAAGGAAAGGATGAAGCGCTTTCTGGAGATAAAGAAAAGCTATGGGGCCAAAGAATGATGCATCATGATGCAATTCTATTGCCTGGGACTTGTCCACTGTTTTCTTATATTTTGCGCAGCACGCCGGCAATAAAAATCTTCAAAATAATGATATGCTGCCTTTTACTGATTACTAAGAGCCTAGAATTCACCCACAAGTAGGTTAAGTTCGGTGATGACGAAGTGGGCATCTATTAAACTGTGAGAGAGCTTGGTCGGAATGTTGTCATTTTTCACAAAGTTTGAAACAGTTGAGTTTGTGGGTGCCAGGGACTATCTGCGTATAACTTCATCAACCCTTTGTGAACTGATGCATCACTGACAAAAGAAAAGTTGTTCTTCTAAGTTGCAGTCCCTTGCCTACAAGCCCTCAAACCTCTGTGAATGGTGCCTATTAACGTAATGGCACACCTGCTTTTAAAATTTCTTGTTTTATTGGACATGTATCTTCTATCC